ATAAAAGCCGTGACTAGTGAATATCTGAGCAAAGTAGAAAACTACCATTACCATTTGGTCTACCTATAAGCCTAAGTTGTCAAACAGAACTCTCATCTAGTTTCTTGCCAGTTATTCGTAGTTATGTATCTTTTATCCATTACAACATGAAACATTTCCTTCGTAATACTTTTCTCATAGATCAAGTTCCGTTCTACCATCAAATGATTTATGAAAATTGTAAGTAGAATCACATGCAAAAAAAATCAATTTCTTACTCATATGTCCGTGATTGACGATTTAATTAATTTTTAGTATTCGAGTTTAGGTATTTTTATAAATGTTAATAGGTTATATTATGTATCATATGATAAAACTAATTAAATTGTTATAATGTCAATATTGTGAATTCAATAAATATATTTTTGCAAAATATATATTATTACAAAAATATTAAACGATTGACATAACATACGAGGTCTGTTCAAAAAGTATCGCGAATTTTGAATTTCCGCGGGCTACGTAAATTTGATTTTCGATTTTTTTGTAGCGTTATGTTGGTACTCATGTCCCTTACTTATGCTGATAAGGTCGGCCATTTTGAATGTTTAGTTAATTTTTAACAGCTGTTTTGCTTGGATGTGTTTTGGCTCGTCTTCGATTTTTGCCTATTCTAAAAAATGGATCAAAGAATCTGTATCAAATTTTGTGTGAAAAACAAAATAAAATGTGCGGACATATTCCAAATGTTGACTGTAGCATATCGTGAAGTTACCTTGGACCAAAGCAACGTTTATCGGTGGTAAAAAATGTTCTCAGAGGGCCGAGAAGATGTGAACGATGAACAACGTGCAGGACACTCGGGCACGTCAACAACAGACAAAAACATTGATAAAGTGAAGAAAATAGTATTGGCCAATCGTCGAATGATCCTTAGAGAAGTTTCTGAGGATTTAAACATATCGATTGGCTCATGCCCTTCGATTTTAACCATTGATTTGGGCATGAGTAGGGTTGCCGCGAAATTCTTACCAAAACTGCTCAATTTCGACGAAAAAAAACAGAGGATCATAACCGGTGATGAATCATGGGTTTACGGTTATGATGTAGAATCCAAAGCTCAATCATCCCAATGGAAGCTGCCGCATGAGCCAAGACTGAAAAAAGCGCGTAAAGTACTGTCGAACGTGAAGTTGTTGCTCATAGTTTTCTTCGATTATAGAGGCGTGGTGTATCATGAGTTCTCGCCACAAGGTAGTACGGTCAATAAGGAATATTACCTGTAACTTATGCGTGTTTTGCGCGAAGCAATCCGCCAGAAACGTCCGGATTTGTGGAAGATCAAAAACTTTTTTCTGTTCCCAAAACTGAAGAGGCCCATAAAAGGATGGAGCTAAGCCACGATTGAGGAGATAAAGATGGCATCGAAAGAGGAGCTGAACAAGATCACAAAAAATGATTTTTTTAAGTGCTTCGAGGATTAGAAAAAACGTTGGCACAAGTGCATTATATCCGAGGAGGATTACTTTGATGGAGATAAAATAAATAATTTTTGAAAACATACAAAATTCGCGATACTTTTTGAACAGACCTCGTATTGAGAAATTTGCATATATGCATATGCAGTTCATTAAGAAAAACAGTTATACATAGCATCTTTGATAATTTGCTATCCAATGTTTTTCTAACTTCATTATTAGAAAAACTGCGAATGATCAAATAAATATTAATAAAAAATGAATAACATTTTCAGATTATCAAAGGGGTCAATAATTTGAACAATTTAAAATATATTAATTCAGTCAAAAAGAGAGCTTTGCCAATTTCAAACATTTTTCATGTTAAATACTTTTATTTATTTTTATTTTCAATATAATTTACAATCTCTGCATGGATAAGTAAATGTTATAAATACAATTTCATCAATTGGTTAGAAAAATTGAATTTTATATAATATACATAAAGATACTTCATTATTAATCTGTAATTGTACTTTAATACTCTGTTTATTCAATTGTGTATAGCGCTATTACATATTTTTTGAATCTTGAAACTATTGGTATTGTGTGCATTAACTTCATTTCTAGCCAGTTTGGGTGTCATGATATTCTATTAATATATTTTCTATTAAGTGCTTCGATTTCTTATCTAATGGTCGTTAAATTGACATCTTTCCTTATGTATTCGTTTGTGACAAACAATGATGCATCAGTGATGAATCATAGTATTTTATTTTGAAAGCTTTCTATTATATCAATATTTAATTTTCCAACAGTACCCTAAACTAATATTACGTATGAAGTTTTCCCAATGTGACGGAGTAAGCAGTATGCTTGCTTTTCGTCTGTTTTCCTCTTTCCCCTTTTGTCGACAAGCGTCGACAAGCGACCCTTTTGTTAGCGTTGGATGCATATTAGAAATGTATCTAAAATGGCCTTTTATTTCAGCGTTGATGATTGCCGAGGAGCGGCCGAAGAGATTCAAGGGACTTCAATATTGAGAGTGAGAAAGAATGGGAAATAGCCAACGAAAAAGAGAGAGAGAATGCATGCATTAAGCATGTCTAAGCAGGTGTGCGACGTACGACCAATAAGCGTTGCGTAAAAATTGTAGGTCAAGTGAGGACGAAGGAGAGCGCGAGCCCAGAAGGCGAGAAGGCAGCGGCTAGCAATTAGTCGTACATTTCCTTCTCATCCACCCTTGCAGGAGCGTCTCAGTAGGCTGTTGCGAGAGGGTAAATGACCGCGAGTCGGTCGATATTTGACATTGAATGTTGAACCCTCGCTGCGAGAGGCAGAAAAAAGCCAATAAGGACAGTGACCGCATATACGAGGGTGGTCCGATAAGTACTTAGCCTACAAAAGAACAACGAAAATTTTGGAAAAGTGGCGTTTTATTTTTCAACATAGTCTCCTTTTAGTTCGATACACTTGGCCCAGCGATGTTTCAACTTCTTTAACCCGTCTGAAAAATCCGTTTCCTCGAGGTCTGAAAAGTAGGCTTCCGTGGCAGCGATTACCTCCTCATTCGACTCAAATTTCTGCCCGGCGAGTGACTTTTTCAAGTTTGGAAACAAAAAAAAGTCGCACGGGGCTAAATCTGGAGAATACGGTGGATGGGGCAGCAGTTCACAGCCTAATTCGACCAATTTGGCCATGGTGACGGCGGAGGTGTGAGCCGGTGCGTTGTCATGGTGGAAGAGCACTTTTTTCTTCGCCAAATGGGGCCGTTTTTTCTGCAATTCGACGTCGAATCGGCCCAATAATTCGGCATAGTACAGCCCTGTGACCGTTTTGCCCCTCTCCAGGTAGTCGATGTAGATTACACCTTGTGAATCCCAGAAAACGGTGGCCATCACCTTTCCGGCCGATGAGTTGGGACAGTCTTCGCCTTCATCGGAGCACTTTCGCCGGGTAAAGTCCACTGTTTAGACTGTTCCTTGGTCTCTGGTGTACACCAATGGATCCATGTTTCGTCGACTGTCACGAAACGACGCAGAAACTCCTTCGTATTGCGCTTAAACAGCGTCAGACATTGCTCTGAAGTTGTCTCACGGTTGCGCTTGTTGTCCGGAGTGAGCAAACGCGGCACCCATCGCGCCGACAGCTTTCTCATGCCCAAATTTTCATGCAGGACATGACCCACGCGGTCTTTTGAGATGCTTACGATCTTAGCTATCTCACGCACCTTCAATCGTCGATCTACCAATACGAGATCGTGAATTTTTATCACGTTATCCTCCGTGGTAGCCGTTTTCGGAGCACCTGGACGTGGCTCTTCAAAAATCGACGTGCGACCACGTTGAAACTTGTTAAACCAATTTTTGATGGTCGCAATCGTAGGAGAAGAGTCACCGTACACAGCATCCAAGCGCTTTTTAATTTCGCTGCGCGATTTCCTTTCCAAAAACAAGAATCGAATCACCGACCGATACTGCTCTTTTTTCATTTTTCAAAAATCAACGGACACATTTGCTTTCACACGCTCTCAAAAATAAATTACAACTCCGATCCGGCTAAAATCTTGACAGTAACCATCGAAAAGGTTGTACTACGTGATAGAATGTTTCTTTTGCGAGAGTGGCGCCATCGGGCGGTGAGGCTAAGTACTTATTGGACCGCCCTCGTAAGAGTTTTCGCACAGCTGCCCGCGTATTACAAGGGAGGCTGCCCTTTGTTACAAGGTACGCGATTTAGACGCCTGCTGATTGAAGAGAAAGGGGTGTCACCTAACGCAGTTTCACTTGGTCGCTTACTTCACCACGCCAATCATCCGGAAGAAGACAAAGTTATGTTTTCGTTTCCTTTCTCTCTAATTTGTCTCACCATGGCAGGCTTGTAATCGCGGTATATTAAGTGCAGTAACGTTTGATAGTCAGGCGTTCACTTGCCGGTTACATGGGATTTCTTTTTGTTCCGAACAGCGGCTCGATAGGTTAAGTACAGGCGACAGGTAGTGGGCTGCCAAAGCGTTCATCTGCGGGTAGTTTGCACCTAATCTTGTTCAGATTATAATTACTGTATTAATATGCGTTTGTTTCTGTTTTTTCTTAGCGGTAAGAGTTCTGTTTGAGTTTGTTCGCTGTTTGTTAATGGTTAGAAATAAGATTTGACATTTGATAAATGGTGTGTATAATTATTTGTGAACTTATTTCCTGTCTTTCCTCTTCGATTGCTGAGAACGAGAATGCCTCTCTTATCCCCCTTAAAAAATTAGTAGCAAAAGCGCGACAATAACGCGTCTATCTGTTACATCAGTAACTTTGTATTTATATTAACGTGTCTAAAGCTCTTTTTATTTTTTAAATACAACAAATATTGATCAAAATATTCCTATTGGAAGACTAAGCAAAAAATATTGATTATTCGTCAAAAATTAATATTAGGTACTGTACTTATTAGAATTTTTTTTAAATATGAGAACATTAGCATTAATAAGTCATCTGAAAAAATGTTTATGAATATTTCACATAAATTTCTAACGTCACGAATCAGTAATTTTATGATTTATTATTTTTATAGGTAGATATTTTAAAAACAGACCAAGATAAAATCGAATTTGATTTACAATCAGAGACAATTGATTTACGAAATGAATTTGTATCTGCATGTGAACGAGGTAATATTCCTAATGAAGAGGAAATAAAATTGAAATACATTAATACACATTATGGGCCGATCAAAAAACGTATAGATGAATGTTCTCAGCGCCTAGATCGGTTATTGGAAGCCATTCATGTAAGTAATAAATGTTGAAACAATCGATGATAGTTTTGACATAAAATAAAATAAAAACTTGATATTCTTATGCATATACCGCAAGATATATGGTTCCCGAATTGTAAATCTTAAATAAAGGATCTAATTAATTTAGATCGTAAAAGTTATCTCTAAAGGTATATTAAAACATCATGTTACGCTACATTTATATTAGTTTGAAAAACAAACAATAAATGCCTAGATTTTCAGACCTCAAAAATCAAATTTTTTAAAAATTGAAACTAATTATAGTAATAATAATGATTATTATTATATTATACAAATTTATTATTATAGTAATAATAATAATTTTTATTATTATTATTACTTTGTTTTTTTATTTTAGAATTGTGGTGAACAAATTAGGAAAATCTTCATGACTATAACAATTAGGTAAGATGGCAATTCACTGAAGCTATTCACGTCCATCACATTCATTTCATCCAGGAGAGACAGGATAGATTTGATTCACTCAGACTAGATGATTCCAAACAATCTGTTGTCCAACTATGAACAACCTCCCAGTTATCGGTGGTTAGTTCGCAATCTAAACGTGTTCAAACTTAATCAACAAATGTATTGTTTGTACAAAAAAATGTTACTTCCACTATGAAGTCGTTGCCACGTCATATTACACAGATTTACAAAATAAAAAAAGTTCAGGATTATTTGACCGGGCCATATAATACTTATGTATTTCGACACGCTGAATACGAATCCGAGGTCTGTTAACCTCTATCACGTCAGATTCAAAGTCATTTAGAGGTCGTATCGTTCATTTTGCATAAAACAAATACTTGTATATGTGCTTCAATCACGTACAATCATATATTTTTGTATCCTGAGTGTAAACGTGGTATACATTTGATCCCAACAATTTATGGTCAAGGTTATTTCAGGGTCAATTATTTCATTTTCCAAAAAATAAATATAACCTTATATCCTTAAATTCTAATTTCCTTAACCTTCAAGTTCTGAAACATTTGCATATATAAGTTCAGCTCTACTTTCAGTTTTCTTAACCTTCAAGCACGTAACCTTTCTACGATGTAGTTCCGACCTTCTTAACCCCAATTTCTTCAGTCCCACCAATTTCTTCAGTCCCCCAACCACCCACACTCCAATTTCCTTAAACCTGGCATCTAGTAACTCCGATCTCTTACGCCCCAATTTCTGTAAATATTCAGCCTTTTAATCTGCGGTGCTATCACATCTCCATTCTCTTAATCCAAATTTTTTTAACTCTCGAGCACTCAATTTTGCCACGCTGTAAGCTCAAACCACTGTGCCCTACTTACATTATTTTTCGAGTCTCGTAACCTACGCAGCTGTAACCTCAGACTCTTAATTCGAATTTCTTTAACCTTCTAGTCCTATAATCTCAGCAACAATGACAAAAGTAATCTACATAAGAGCAATTTCAAAATTTATACAATTAAAATTCATTGCAACTTACTTTTGGTCACTGGTTTGCAAGCTTACAGAAGTAAGATTTTAAGAATTTATAGGCATTTCATCCAAGACTGTTGGATTGGACTCCTTAGGAAGGATCCAGCAGTCCCTCTTCGAGGCCTGGCTATTCGATGTTCAGTAGGTAGGCTAATAGGAGGAATCTGGTTGTTTCTTTTGGCAAAAAATAAGCCCTATACTGGCAATATTTTCAATCGTATTAGAAGGTTCGTAACTTTTTCAATGTTTGTGAATCACAATTTGGGATCATTGAACTTTTAAAAGTTGTTTGCAGGTTAATTTGAGAAAAACAGAAAAATATCTGATTATAAATATATCACTTTCTAATAAAAGCGCGCTTTTTTCTTCGGTCTACGTGTTTCATGGAATATTCTTTTCTGTGTTTTTCTTTTATATTTAACTGAAGTATCTCTTTTCAGATATCAGCAGTAATCTAATATCATATTGACACCCCAAAACCCTTGGTAACCCCTTTCCACCTCTTTAATATCTTGGTGAAATCTTTCCCCTCGCTCTTCGCTATAATCTCCAAAATTCTCTGTAAATTTGTTTAAATAAGAATTTAAATAGTGGAGCTTTAGACTCATCAGGCATCCAACAGCTTTGTAGTTGACGACCAAGTTCCTAACTACTTAGGTATAATTTGGATCTCGCTTGTTACCTACAAATGTTGTGCAAACATCGATAAAGTTTGCCAAATTTGTTGTTCATCCACCAGTATTTTCTTTCGAAATTCTAAATCTTTAATTAATTTCCTTGATATCTATCGAAAATTTCTTCCTTAATTTTTGCTTCCGATGACTTTGGAAACCTTACAAGGATATACTGAAAGGCTGTACTATTTTGTATTCTTCAAAGCCTTCACTAGCTGTTTGATTAAGCCATATTTTTATATGAAGAGGAAGGAGTATTATGTTAGTCGGATTAACTATTTTATATTTTATAATATACTTTTGCCCTATAACAAAGTTATTTCTTGCGGGCCAGTTCTTTTTCCTGTAATGATCATCACGAACTCTGTTATTTCATTCATATGAAAAACATGGGAATTTTGTAAAACCAGTCTGTTGGCCCAAAACGATTGTGACAACTTTCAAATCCGTAAATTTATATGTCTCGTAATTAATTTGATTAAGTAAATATTCCATATTCACATAATTTTCATCCATTGTCGTTGAGTGAGTCAATAGAACAGAGGCTAGTTTTCTCCCATTGTTCAGTAATATAGCTTTGAGGCTTCTTTTAGAAAAATCGATGAATAACCGTCACTCTTTAGAATCAAGTTCAGCGCCGAATATGCTAAATAACTCATCTATATCATTGCAGTGACCCAAAGAATCACCTTGAATGAAGTTTTTTCGAAAAGGCTTATCTCTGTTTCTATAGGATGTTATTTTTGTTTTCCTATGCAGCCATCCTTTCTCCTTTAGTCATAGTTCTAGGAGTTCAGGTTCAAATTGTGCCTTAAATAGTCCTAAATTTCTTACCAAATCGTCGAGTTCGCTCTAATCAAATGTTGTAGGGATTGTGCGGTGACTCATTGTACTGACATCAAAATCCGTTTCATCGTCATTTTCTTTGTTACTTTCTTCGTCATCTTCTTCATCATCTTCAACATCGTCTTCTTCTTCATCTTCTTTGTCGTTCTCTTCACCCATGTTACTGTAGGATTCTGAAAGGTTTTCGTCACTTATATCGATTTCCATTACTTCATCGTTATCATGACTGGTATCACTTACTAACACTGACATTGTAAAACGGACGAAGTTGTTTTGTAAATTAATAATTTACAAGTTGATTCTAAGTTTAATGTTTGTATAAAAGTAATAATCAATATTGTAATTTTGAGGTGCACTCCAGATCATAGGTGAAAAGAAAACCATTCCTCGCGTTCCACTTTTCCAACGTCTTAAATGCGTATCACAAATTGGACAAATGAGTTTCAGAGCTTGTGATTGATTGAAAACAATATAAGTGATGTTAAAGCACTTTACATTATAACAGGGTAGATATTTGCCCGCGTTATTTCGCGAGAGATCAATAAGTATATTATACAGCTCGATGCGGGCGTACAATAACCGCGCGAAGCTATGCCCGGATGCTTAGTTACGCCTTAAGGCCCGCGGGAGCGTCATGGATTCTGCAGCTAGTCTTCGAGTTAATTCACCGACGGGGAAAGCGTGGAAAGTTGTAGAGTCAGGTGTAAATAAGAAGAAGGGTTACATAAAATAAACGATATTTATACAGCTTGTAAGTTTACATAGAAAGCAGCGCGGCAATAAAGAGAGAGAGAGTAACTAGCTAGTGAGAGAGAAACAAGGTACACAAGAAGGTACTTACAAATGCGCACGAGGCCACGGATGAGCCTTATCAAACGTTCGGATACGGAGGGACAATCGGCAAGCTTGCACTGGATTAGTCCCACACACTATCTCGCAACACTCTACACTATTTACAGCTAGTGTATGCGTTGTTTCACACTTTTCCGATTTGAGGGTGATATGGCGTCTCCAAGACATGACCACCCCTCTCTCTGGGCGCCAATAAGTTGGCATAGCCCACTGTCTTTCACCACTTTGCTTTCAAATATTGGGGATCCGGAAGTCAAGTTTGCTACGACATCCCTGGCGCAACTCAGCGAGTCGGAACCTTTTTGATCTAAGGCGGCGACCTCCTCGGAAGGAGTACCGATCTTTTCACGGTTCGACGCTCAAGGAGAGCGGAACTAAAGGTTTGACCCTCGGTTTGGGCGCGACGGGACTCTAGTTGCCCCAACGTCTATTACGTCGGAAGCACGCAGCATACAAATCTTACGAGATTTGCTTGACCTGGTACCACTACCCCGCAGAGGCCAACCCAAATTGGGATATCAGAAGAGAGACTCAGCCAGGACAGCCAGAGGAAATTCCTAAGACGATCAACCAACTAAGCCTCCCCTCTTGGGCTCGCGTTCGAAAACATCCCACCCTGCGTACCTGTATTATGGGATTTCTCCCACGACTCACAGGTCCATCGCTTCGACATACCGAGGTACGTCTCCCCATTGCGTTTCGGTCATCCCCGCTCACGCTGGTGGGTATCCGTCATTCGAAGGTTTGTTATTATCCCGTTTTGTCCCAAAGTCAGATCTCGCTTTCTAAAGAGTGGTTTGATGGCTTGGCTGATTCTGATGTTTGCTCTTTCGATTTGGTTTTTGACTGTTATGTCAGGGCGGGGTCTCGTCTAGCCGACAAGACGACTCCCCAGGCAGTTTTCAGTATTCTTGCCTGTTATGCCATGCATTTGGTTCAAAATTCTGTCGTTGGGTCAAAACGGGGTTCGTCGCGTTCAAGTATTCAGACTTCGGAATTTAGTTCTGAAGTTGATGTTCAAAAATTATCGTTCAAAAATTTTCAAGCTTTATGAGCTTGTCTGAGTTCAAAAATTAGATTATTGTGCGAGTTTTTGTCCTCTGGTTAGGGACCTTGTAAGAGGTGGTATCTTTCTACTGTAGTTTGTAACTACATTTC